TTTTTTGGTGGTTTTCATTTTGACCGGACCCCCATGCTTTGTGCACCTCTGTGCCCAGCTCTGAGCAGCGTACTGCGCTCAACACGTATCCGTTGGGGTCGCGGACCTTCCAGCAATGCAGCCAGCGCACGCTGTGCGCGGTGGGGCGTAGCAAGCAAGCTATATCAACAACTCAAAAAAGACTCATCCCGCAGCGCATGCCAGCCAAAGGAAGTTTGCTGTGGCCTCTTTTGCGTGTTCTTCCAATCGCCTGGGAGGCAAAAGCAGAGCACGGCAGGGCTCAAAGGCAGGCGCTGGTGCCTGAGGATTTCCCCGGCTGCCGCGGGGTCCAAGTTGAGCAGCGGCCGGGCCACCTGCAATGGGCTGGGGAGGGAGGGAGGGAGGGAGGGAGGGAGGGAGGGAGGGAGGGAGGGAGGGGGGAGGGAGGGAGGGAGGGAGGGAGGGAGGAGGAGGGGGAGGGAGGGAGGGAGGGGGAGGGAGGGAGGGAGCAAAGGGCTTCATAAGGGCTCCCTGCCCCTCCCCCCACACCCCAGGCAACACGAACTCTCACTTCCCACCTGGTCATAATCCAGCTGACCATTCAGCTGCACCTCCAAAAGGTGCCGCAAGAAGCAGCTCACATTGGTCGACCCACGCTTCAATATTCTTTTTACAGCCGCATAAACTAAGATGGCTTTCCGAAACCTTGCCTGGAATCCACTCAGCAACGAATCAGAAATCCCAATGCTAGCCACTTGGCTGGGCTAGGTCCTATGTACAGCGACAGGCCTGGCCTGGCTTAAGCCAAGCCAGCCTGCAACTCACCTGCGCTTTCTCAGGGGCTCATCTTCTGCGCCCATCTCCTGAGTCGGTGAAGCTATTGCAACCTGGCTCACTAGGCGAATGAAATACAAACTGCCGATTCTTTTGCAAAACCGAAGGCATCGACCTGCTTCTCACACCGTAGGCTAAGATGATCCAAAGGCACGCGCGGCTCAGTGCGCGCGCGAACTGGCGGCCGTGCCTCGGCGTCGGAGGCGGAAAAAAAAAAAAACATCCCCTGCATTCCTTGGTGCGATAGGTAGGGAATGAGAAATGGAATGCCCCGTATAAATTTCATCCCACTGGTGGTTTCCTTTAAGGGAATCCCTGGGTTCATTCTCTCATCCCCTGCTGAGCACCAGCAAGATTCAGTCCAAGCAAAGCGAGCTTGGGATGCCAAGGATCTTTTCATGTTCGTCTGGGGCGACTCTGGCAGACTTGCAAAGAAGGGAACGGCAGGTCTGACTGTCTGACAGGGTGCGACTGGTTCATCATCCTCCTGACAACACAAACGGCGATTGGTGTCGATCAATGTGTCCCAACCTTTTTTAGGCCCTTCACGTCCACCAGTACCACCAGACTCATTTGGCCTGCCTTGTTGTGGTGACGTTCAGGCTCAGGACCAGCAAAGCTGCAAAAAATGATCGCCTCCAACCCTCATCTCTCTCTCTCTCTCTGTCTCTGGATTGCTTGCAGCATTCCAGCATATTCCACCATTTGCTTCCACAATCTGCAACACCTGTCATGGAATGGTGCTGGTTGAGCACGGCCAGCTGCCCTAATTGCTTCCTAATTCCTCATGGACTTGAAGACTTGCAGCCAGTGCTCCGCTCCGTATGCAATGATGGGCAATTGCTTGCTGACAGGCGTGCGCGCATGCGCACGCACAGAGACACAGAGACACGGAGACACACAAACGCAGAGACACACCCACACGCGCACGGAAAATGATGCCCTGCCATGGAATGCCATGAGCAAAATCATCAAGCGCTCTTGCAAAGAAACGTTACATGCCACCAAGCATCCGCCAGCGTGGACAAGAGCCCGCCAGCAAACATTATCTCCCGCAGCCACCACCAGTGCGCATCCCAAAACGTCGCCTGACATGCGAAGCTCCAAGTGGAAGCCCCTGCCGTGATCAGCCTTATCTGAACAAAACAGCAAGCCACCCTTGTAACTTCGCCATGCGAAACACTGTGAAACGTCGTTGCATGCTCGAGGGATGCTGTGTGGTGGTTTCCGCAGCACTCATGGAGACTGCATTCATTTCACTTCTGGGCCCTACCTGTAACCATCAGGGGCTCATGCCTTGTCCGAAAGCAGTGCCTGGACAACGCATTCGTTCACAGGGCACCGACTGAGAAACACGCTTGACTGAAACTCAGCACAATTCTTTTTGGCTAACTCCCATTCCATCCCCAAGGGAGCCTTGCCTAGCCAAAACGCCTGCTGCTTCCGTGGAAGAAGCCTCAATTCCCTCCGTCCCAATCGTTAGGGGTGATGCTTCATGCAGACCTCCTGCTCTATGAACTCGGCGGCGGACTGCTGGCAAGCCTCAGGCTGGGTGATGGCTGGCAAAGATCAAAGCAAGAACCCTGTGTCCCCGATATTGCCCACGCCTGCCAAGAGAACGCCTGAACAAAAAGCCATGGTATCCCAGTTGGTGCCCCCGCAAAGGTAAGAAAATCTCGAGCTTGAGGCCTGGAGGCAACCTCGATGGATCCTGCTGGCTCAGCTGATGCAATTGGCCAAGGTGCCAAGGAAAAGGCTGCTGCAGCTGACAGTGTGCGCCACCCCATGCTAAACGTAGCGGGGCAATGCACCACCCCGTGTCTGTGCGTTCATGTCTGGCTGGGCATTTTTGGTGGGGCAACAAACCAAGTCCAGCTTGGCTGGGACATGCAGGGCCTTGTGCAATGTCATGTCGGCTGCGGGCATGGATCGGTTGGCTCAGCTTGACTCAGCTGATTAAGCCAAGAGCCCAAGCGTACGGAGCTGCTAAGGTGCTGGACGGCGGTTCAAAAGAACCGACGAGAAATCGTGCCTCGCGGTTCAACCACATGATGTGCGCCTGCAACGAATTTTTCGGGGCACCACCGGCCCGCGAACACCGGCCAGGGCTCGTCTCTTGTGGCCTCCAGCTGCTTGTCCAAGGGCTCGTGCCTGAAGTCCTGCATGTCCTGCAGCAAGCGCACCAGGAAGAAAACATGACGCCAATCCCCCCTTTTTCCGTTGTCGAAATGCTGGCAAGCACAGCTCTGGAAGCCAGGTCGTATTTGCATCGCGGAAGCGCTCGCTCCGTTTGTGTGTATGTGCGTGTGCACGTCTCCATCCACGCGCGCGCGAGCTTCTCACTGGCCAGAATCTTCCCCGCCCGCGGAGGTGGCAGGCCTTGTCCTCTCTGACTCGAGGGGGCACGGAACTCTTTGGCTCGGGGGCGACGCCTTCCTCTTGAAGACCTGGGTCAAAAACCACCCGAGAGGCCTCTTCTTGCATGTGCGATGTGTCAGTTTTCTCGGCCTCATGGAATTCCAGGCGCCCTGCGTCTTGCGGCTGTTGCGACGTATCCATTCGGGTTGCGCACCTGGCAGGTTGCTCCACGGACAGCCACATGCATCGCGCAAGCCACTGAATTGGGGAGGGGCTGTTGGCCTTCTAAACCAGCTGATGAGCTGCGATCTCTATGCGACTGGCTCAGCGCCGCTGACTCCCTCGAGCCTCCGCAGCATTCTCCTCGAGGGTCTTCAATATTTTCATGACCTTCGCCATGTGCCGTCGACATGGCCATGCCAAACCCGGAGGAGAAGAAAATGCAATGCCCAAAAACCACCTGACGACCCCCGCACCCAACGGGCGAGCCAAATCCCACGCCCCTTTCCTCCCCGCCTCACCGATGGGCCCAGATCTAAGCAGGAGCTCTCCAACCTTCTCGTAGCTGAGCTGGTCGCTCAAGCCTTCAGGTCTTTCAGCTATCTAAACCTGCACCCTTGCCTCGCATTTTTGAGGCAAGGGCCTGCTTTGTCGTTCAGCCAAGATATCCTCTTCCTGACCTCGGGGCAAACCAAGTGGCCGCATGTTCATGACAAGGGCCGCCAGCTGCTGCTGCCCAACCTTGTCCACCATGGCAGGGTCGAAGTTGCTTCTTCTGTCCTGGAATGGTCGGAGGAGTGGCAGGGGTGGCAGAGCGTCCTGTGGGCTGCTGGGCTACTGGGCTGGGCTGCTAGGCTGCTGGGCATAGGCTGCTGGGCTGCTAGGCTGCTGGGCTGCTAGGCTGCTGGGTGGCGGTGTTGCGGTCATGGATAACATGATCTAACTTCCAAATGCTACTCGCATTTTTGCCCACCTGGCCTTCAGATGTGTCTTCGCCACTGTTCTCCCCGGCTGTCGACGTGCCTGGATGGCTGCTGCGCTGCGCAAGTGCATTCGACCAAAGAAGGGGAATTGTAGCTAAAGTGCCCTTTCGTATCTCACTTGAAGAAACTTAAAGCCCAGACCGGCTCAACACTACCCCAGCCTTTGCCGCTGCTGGTGGCCTACCTCGGTGTGTTCAACAAGCAGACGGCAGCAGTTCAGCAGAGGATCATATGCACAGGCACTGGGGATGTGAAACAATTTTCTACTTGGTCAGTAAAGGGTGCCAGAATAATAAACAGATCTAAGCTCCAAATAAGTGGGTTGGGAGATTGGAATGCTGGAAAGCGTGTTCAAAATCGAAACACGCTTTGAAAAGCTGTCCTTGAAGCAGAGCACCCAGCCAAAAAAAAAACACACAATTGCCAAGCCATGTTTGTGGCCTGCTAGCCTTGGGTGAAAAACTGAAATTTCCTTGGCCCCAGATTCTGCGAGACATATGGCGCCGCTGCATTCCAAACATGCGTGCTCCTCCTCTCAAAGATCAGAAACAGCATTCGCAAAAAAAACAGCAGCTTACATCTGCTTGGCATGAGCAAAACCTACCTGACTCTTACCTGCCTGCACCTCCGCGCGGCTCGATCACTTTTCCAGCGCCTGCTGACCCCAGTCTGACACACATCCACTTGACCAATCACTGAGCGCCTTTCGAGACTCAGAGCCTTTTGCTTGCACATGAAAGAGCGGCGATGCCAAATCATCTCAGGGCGCCAAAATCCAAAGGTGTTTCTGGTGTGTCTTTTGTAAGGTTGGACCCCCAAAATTGTGGTTTTCCTTTTGGTGTGCCTTCAAAACCACCAAAACAGGGGTACCCTCGAAACACATGAAATCCTTTGACCCTCGCCTGCAAGGGGATCTGTGACCTCGTGCAACTCTTCGGCCAAGAAGCTGAGGCGGTAGCGGTGCAGGAAATTCCGTGCAACGAAGCTGGCATCTGCCAGGTAGGTTGCGTCCGAGCCATAGTACGGATCCTTTACACATCTGAGTACGGTGGCAAAAAGAAACTTATTTTCTTCCAGACGCCCACACCCCCCCCCCCCAACGCATGCCAAGAACAGATGCCAAGAACAAGTGCCAAGGCTCGCAATACACGGGGTGCCCGATGAAAGAGAAGTGGCTGCGGATCTGGTGCCTTCGACCGGTGACGATCCGCACCAGCACCAAACTCACTGCCTCTGCCTTGGAGCCGACTCCATGCGCCACAACCTCCACAGCGTGGATAACCCCGGGGCGGCTGGTGCTCAGGGAATGAGAAAGGGAATGACCAGCAGTTTTTCCAACTGGTGAGTTCCTTTAAGGGAATCCCTGGGTTCCTTGCAACATTCCCTACTGAGCACCAGCAAGTAACCAACTCATGTCACAAAAATTGGGCTCCACTCACTCCAATTGAGCAAAGTGGGGTCTTGAGAAATGCGGACAGCCGAGACTAGCTCGGATCACTTTGGTGGACTGCCCCTGTCACCCAAGTGTTTGATGCATTGAATCAGGTACCGCTTGATGGGTGGTTTGCATTGGTGGCTTGGGGATTTGAACCCCTGAGGGTAAAGGGGAAAGCTGATTCAAGCAATGCTTGTTTCGTGCTTGGGTGCCAGAGCCCGCCTTTGCTTTGGAAGCCGATGGCTTGCCTTGACCACCGGCGCAGGTCGGCTCGTTTCCGCGCCACGACAAACGCGCGGTGATGCTTTCGCGGCGCGTGGCCAGGCCGTGGCAAAGGACGACATAGTCCCGCTGAATCTGCCCCGACTGGAGCTGAAACTGGAGGTCGTAGAAGGCCTCGATTTGCACAAAGCTCCCAAGCTCCGTTGCTCACTTGCCCTTTGCAAAGCAGGGCCAGCCCTGAACCAAGAAAAACAGAGCTGGCCGTCAAAAAAGAAAAGCTTTGAAGATGAAAACTAAAACAATGTCGCTAGGCTGGAGGTGGCAAAAACGTAGCATGTTGCTCCGTCGGTGCCCATTCAACTTCTATCTTCTAGCCCGACGATGGCTACATTTGTCAACAACCTTCAGCACTTGCGACATTTAAATGTGTAGCCAAGGCCAGCTCATGCATGAAGTGAAAGCAAACCAACACACAAAACTTACTGCAGGGGGCGATAAAGACCAGGCCTTAATGAGCCACCAATCGGTTTCCAGCCCTGGCATTTCGCAACAAACTACTGCGCCCACCGTCGTTTTCCAAGTCAAGTCTTGACACTACGCATCACTACGCGGTCAAAAAGGTTTTTGATGCCACTTATTTTCGGCATACTTCCCAATGGCATGGACATAACAATTGGTGTCCCCTCAAAGTGGGGGTTGATGACTCCAGGAAATGCTCCTTTTAGAAGGGGTATCGTTGTTGGTGAGTCATCTATGGTTTTCCAAAACAATAAATACATATATATATATGGTAGGACCCCCCCCCCAATACCAACATATACATATATATATATATATGGGTATGTGTTTTTTTCACGTGGCCGTGCCGGGAGGTTGGTATAAGGGGTATGAATCGCAGGTATGGTTCGGGGTATGGCTCGGGGGTATGATTCGGGGTATGGCTCGCGCGCCTCTGAACTCTTGCTTTGTGGCTTTGGACACTGCAAAGCTTCCGTGAGCTGGCAACTGGATAGCCGTGATAATTTGGACCGCTTAGTTGCTACAAGCCAGCCTGGGGCGCTTGTGAGTGGCCTGAACTAGACAGCTGCCACTCTGCGTGAGTGGGTGTGCGAAAGCTGCTGCGCTTGGTGGAAGGCGCAGAGCCACTGTCTGCGGCGAACGTCATTGCCACCTCCACTTGGAGTTCAAGCGACCCGCGTGCTCACAGACCCAAGCAAGCGTTGCTTAAGGGGAAGCGCCGCTGCCCAGTCAGGCCCGCCACCCGCACCAGTCAGGAACCAGCGTAAGGGCAAGACAGCGTAACATCCTCAAACGGCAGCCTCGCAGAGGCTAGTGGGCGTCTCACAGGTGGTGCGCCGTGTTTCCCTGTCTCTGGCTTGCTTTTGGGGGGTCCTGAGTGTGGATTTCTACGCAGGGGAACCGCTGCGCAAAACTGACACAGTGGTAGAGTGTGGTAGGCGCACGTTGCCGCGTCACAATTGCGCCCAGAGCGCGAGAGGCTCTTGGTTGCAGATGGCTGCGAAAGGGTATGACTCGGGGTATGAATCGGGTATGACTCGGGGGTATGAATCGCGGGGAAGATTTTTGCTATCGGAAAAAACGCAAAGCGAGCATGGCTAAGAAAGCTTGCAATCATGCGGGGCTGCTGCAAGCGGCAGCACCCTTACACTTGGAACAGGCCCGCGCCATGTGAAGCTATGAAGCAGAGCGTGTCAACCCGCGCAAAATCCGGAAAGGCTTGGTTAGTGGTCAAACTCCCAACCACGTAGCAGCAGGGGCGAGATGTCCGTCACAGAGTTTTCAAGCCTTCTTGGTCATTTTTCGACCTGCGCCTGAGCGGCAGTACGCGTACCAAGGCCGAGCGCGCAAGTCCACCGCTTGACGCAGCAGCGAAAGCGCACTTGGGATAAACAGCAAGCAGCTCGTGCGAGCCTGCGCGCTTTTGAAATGCAATTACGCGTGCGTCGCCATACAAACTGTCAGCTGGCGCGTGACGAACTGTGAGCTAACCTGTAGCTTTTACCCTAAACGCCAGCTGCTTGGGACAGACAGTTTATTGCGTTGCCCGCAGGACAGGCCCTACTTGCATACCCTTAGCTAAGGCCTTCAAGCAGGCTTGCAAGGTCAGCAGTTCTTGAACTCCTTTTTAGATTTCTTCGGGGGTATGAATCGGAGTATGAATCGGGGGTATGATTCGGGGTATGATTCGGGGGTATGGCTCGCCCAAGCCCCACCTCCCACGAAGACTAAAGAACTGACACGGTAAAAAAAAAAAAAAAACAGACCCATATATATATATATATATATATATATGTGTGTGTGTATTTTTGCATTGTTTAAAGAAAACAAAGAACACAATGTGCGCATAGAAACGTTCATCTAAATCTGCTTGACGGTAATTTTGATATCTCCTGGAAAGGCGCGCTGTATGTGCAGGCGGCCAGGATCAACCCTGACGTGGGCACGTCCAAACGGTGCAAGAAGCCGTGACGGCGTTTTGGGTCGCCCAGGATGGCGGAGTTGACCACGCTGCGCAAGAAGTCATGTAGCTGGAGGGGAAAGCTCCCGCCGAAAACTTCCCAACCTGCTGGCTTGAACAGAACCAATCGGTCGGGCAAACGCAGCTCCACCCTTGGATACGGCTTGGTCACTTCCATGGAAAGTGCCGCAAGCGTGGTGCCAAAAACTGGGCCGTCCAGACGGGCGCCAAAGGCACGGCAGTATTCCCAAGCAGCTCCGGCAAAGTCTGCTCGCAGCAGCCCTGCCAAGTTGCAAGCCCAGGTGATGCCGAGGAGCGCCTCCACATGCGCCTCGTCCATCCTTCCAGCCCTTTGCACCCGAGAGGCTCTCCGCATCATCTCCAGCTGCAAACCCTTCAGGACCTCAAGGACCCTCCCTTCCGTGTCAGGGCCCGGGGTGCCCGTGGCTGCCATGCCCCAGGCCAGGTTCACCAAGTCTTCCAGCTGGAAGTCCCGCAGTCTGCGCGCCGCTTCCACCGCAACGCCCGAGGAGGCGTCACATCGCACGCCGAGCACACCCAGCGCCCAGGCCACGTTGGCTAACTCCCGGCAAGTCTCCGAGGCCCAGCGAATGCGACCAAGCTCCAGGCCAGCGAGCCGCAGCCAAGCCAGGTCACGTACGCCCAAACGCGCCAGAGCCCAGGGCAGCGCAGAGGCCGTCTGTGCCAAGTGCTGAGAGTCCCAAAGCAAGGCGATCCCCAAGTCTCGATGCTCACCGCGGTCACAGGCACTGATGCCAGTACAGTAGTTGATTATTCCCGGCTCAACCTGGCACTGCTAGAAACGGCGAAACACAAATGCTGAAAGGACACGTTCTTAGTGGCAATGTTGGAGCAAAATGACAAAATCCCTGGTGTCCTGGCACACCCTCATCTCAGTCAGAAGGTCCACAGCTTCTGGCCATTGAAAGGACTTCTCACAGGCACTCATGACCGAGTTGTACATGCCCGACAGGCTGCCCGTCTTTCCAGCGTGTGAGAAGAAGCCGCAAGAACGCTCCCACACATGGCGCTTCTCACATGCACTTGCACACTGGCTCCAAGAGACTGAGCTTGGTTGCATGTCGACCTGCCTCATCTCCGACAACGCGCTTGCAGCCATTTGCCAGTAGCCGCGGGCTGCCAGCTTCTCAAATACATTTCTGTAAGCATCCTGCAGTGCAAAGTTGGCCTGGAGATGCTCCAGACTCGGCTGCCAGGCTGGCCTCGTCTTCATGGCTGCGAGCACGCAGGCAGACATGAAGGCATCCGGCTGCACGCCCCAGGCTTGGATCTTCTCGTGCACTGCAACGCTGCGCCGCCACAGCGCTTGCCGGGCCACGGCGGCCACCAAGGTCCCAGCTCTCATGGGGCTCAGGTCTTCACGTGGCAGCACAGCCAGCTGCCTGGCCCAGGGCTGCCGTGACACGCTGCTGCTCTCGGATGCCAGCTGCAGCTGGACCGCCCAACGGCGGCAGCCACGAAGCGCGAGGGAGGTGTCCGAGGGGAGCAGGGCGAGTGTGGTGGCCCATGCTTCGGCGCGTGCCGCTGCGGTGGCAACTGCGTCCAGTGGCTTGGTGTTGAACGGAGAGGGCAACTGCTCACAAAGCGCCAAGGACCTTTCCCACAGAAGCTTCGCGGTCAAGGAGTCCATGGCTGTCAAGTAAGTCGTCACGGAAGCTGCTAACCTGCCGCGTTCAAGGCTTCTTACCAAGTGCAGGGCGAGCTGCCACTTCATGGCTTTGGAGCATGCTCCAATGGCAGCAGTGCATACCGGCACACTCCGTTCCACACCGTTGGCAACCATCAGGCTCAGCAGCTGCAACGCTTGCGGCCACGTTGACGCCCTTTCACATGCTTGAATCGCGGAGGTGAAGGTGACCATACTGGGCTGCAAAGCACCTGACAGCCGTGCCAGGAGTTGTATGGACTGTTGCCAGTGGCCACCTTTGCTGCACGCATCAAGTGCAGCGTTGAAGGTCACCAAGGTGGCCGTGCCAGGCGGCACAAGCTCAAAGACCCCTAAGGCCGCCTGCCACTTGTCAGCCCTGGCACAGGCACTGATGGCAGCATTGCACGCAATTGCCGTGAGGCCGAGGTGGGCAGAGCACGTTGCCAGCAGCTCCAACGCCCAAGGCCAACAGGCCGCCACAGCGCAGGCATTGATGGCCGCACCGTAGGTCACCACGGTGGGCCGCAGCGAGCCAAGCTCCAGCGACTTGTAAATCTCCAGTGCCTTGAGCCACTGCTTGCCTTTGGCCATGGCATGGATCGCCACATTCTCTTCCACAACGTCTGCGGAACTTCCTCTCAACTTCAGCGCCGCCTGCCACGCCGCAGCCTCCGCGCAGGCCGCCAGGACCGAGCTGCAAATGCCATCCTGGACCAGCAAGCCGCAAGCGGCCTGCCAGCGAGCGCCACAGGCCTTGGCCGCGGCGCGCATCATCGCCATGTCATGGAGTCGCGCGTGCCAGGCGGCGCGCACCAAGCCTGCGCCAAGGCCGCTGGAACTCACAAAAAAAACGGGTCACTCAAACGCTTCGCAGCATTTCTGCCTTCAAGGAGTTTGACCCACGGACTTCCCATTCTCTACAGCCAACTCCCCAGATGTCCGCCCCGGTGCTGCCACGGCACCCAGCGCTGCGCGCCACTGTTGCGCACCGGCCGATGCCTCCACGCCCACACCAAAGGCGACCGTATCCGGCGTGCAGCGCAAAAAATCCGCGGCCAGCTGCCAGCTCTGAGTCCGCTGTATCTCACCTCGGCCACAGAGGTGCGGCCCATCACTCCAAGTTCTGCAAGGCTGCGTTCCATACGTTCCATGCGCCCCATTGGTCTTTTTTTTTTTGCCGGGGCGCGGGTGAGTGCGAAGAGCTGACTGCTTGCAGAGCTTGGCTCTGGCATGTAGCCATGCACTGAAGGTCGCGTCAGTCGCACCAAGGGGTAAAGTTTGCAAATGAATTGAGGCTGAGCCACTGCGCGGCGCTGAATGACACACCTATTTCACCGACCCCCAGCAATCAGTTCCTGACCTTGTTCTTAGTCTCATGCCTTCTCCGTCAAAATAGGATGCACCCCCTACTGCTTCCATATGCTTCCCATCTCAGCCGTGCACGCTTCCCCCGCTGCCGCGCCGCGGATAGCACGTAAGCGGTGGGGTCGCGCACCTTGCGCGGTGGAACATGCGCAATCCCACGAGAGGGAAACCACGCAGAAAATAACAGGGATCCTTACATTATACACCTGAACTGCAACTTGTAAATGGTGATTTCCCTTTATTTTAGTGTTGAAATGTTTCAAATGGTTGCAAAATGTATCTTTTAAGGAGCCCTGAATAAGCACATTGGGTATCTGCCCAGTTCTTTTCATGGGCATCCTTGATCTGACGAATCCTCTCGTTCCCTGCAAGCCTCGCATGAACCAAACCGTACCTTCCCGAGCAACGCGCCGCATGCTACGGCAAGAGCAGGACTGTAAAAAGGTTTCGGCAAGTTTGTTGAGGGTTGGCCAATCCTAATCCATAATCCCCATAGAGAAGCCACTACAAAGGCCGACCCCTGTAACATGGCTATGGGTCAAAACCCCGGTACCCCCACTACACATCCCAATCCCCACTCAAATAGACTCAGGTGATGCACCTACCCCAAAATGGTATCATTGCTGTTGACCCACGGCCACCTAAGGTAAGGATTAAGGATGAAGCCTTCAACAGCCCAGCTTCTTCCAAGGGCATTCGCGTCTTGAAAGCGCCTCCGACGCCTTCTCCTCCAAGTGGGCCAGGATCTCCATGGCCTTGACGGGTGACGGATGCGCAAAGTGAAGAAACGACGTGGGTATGGGTCAAAATGAAACCACCAGGATATGGACCGCAGGTTTTGGTGCTTGCTTCCATTAGAAAGTGGTTTTGGGGTTACCCTATTTTTGACGACCACGGCCACGTGAGGGCATCAGTGAGACTTCATCCGCAGCTTCAGGTGTGGCCTCGTGAATGCCAAGCGCAACCAGCGGTTCCACCACTCGATCAACTTGCAGCTCCTGCAACGCATGTAATAAGAAAAACATCAAAAAGCCCTTCACTCCTGACTCAGACTGCCCATGGAGTTCAGAAATCTCACGTGGTCTTCCACCTCGGCGCTTTGAGACAGTTCGTGGGACAAAGCTTTGCCCTGCAACTTGTTTCTAGCGCGTCTTGGCACGGGCTGCATGCGTCCAGGCGCTTGCAGCCGCATTCCCCGCCTTCTCTGCCTCCTCTCCTGCATCTCCCTCTATCTCTTGCGCCTCAAGCTGCCAGCGCCCCGCTGACACCTTGCACTGACTCTAATACGGCCCTGGCATCCGCTTCCTCTCCATCTACTGGAACATCCTCGACCTGCGCAAGCGCATGACCGCTCGTTCCTGGAGCCGTGCAAAAGGCAACCCTGAGCAAATGCTGACACCAATGATCATACCGGTGGACAAAGCTCATGGTAGCGGCCCTAAAGGCAACAGCAGCGGCAGCTTCAGAGGCGGAGGATTTGTTGCACTGCCTCCTCCATGGCGTCTGGCTCAGGCTCGTTGGGTGCCTGGCCACGGCTCTTGATGGAAGGCAAAATCGGCAACTTGTGTTCAAGGTTTGAGGACTACACGAGTTGCCCTCTTTTTGAGATGCCTTTCGATTTCCAAGACTCCAAGAGCATTCTGGCATCCAAGAACTGGGCTGTCCCCAGATCCCCTGCTAAAAGTGAATAACTTTTAGTGGGAAAAACCCTAAAAAACCGCCTTAGTTGAGCCGGATGGCTGGAAGCCACCAAGATAAATTGCGGATGCAATCAAGTCCAGGCCGCATCGGGCATGAAGTCCTTGTCCTCACCTGAATTAAGCCCCTGCCCCTGGACATGCGTCATGTGGCTGTGGCTTAAAAACACGGTACCAAAATGGAACCCTGGTAAGCGGAAACATGGACCAAAACCTGCGTATCCCCTACTGCTCAATTTTGAGCCACACCCACGTGAGCCACAATCAAAACTCGGTACTAAAATGGTGAACCCAGAGCCATGCCTCAAGAATTGAGAAGGCGGATATCCGCAGTTATACATTCCCAGCAGCAGCAAGCTTCTTGGGGATGCCTGGGCCCCGGGCCCTCGGGGGAAGACCCCATGGGCTCATCTGGATTTGCCTGGCAGGCACGGGACAGCACTCCACCTTCGCGGAAAAAGACGAAAAAGCTGGCTGCTTTCCGAAAAAATCGCCCTCATGAACCTCTCGTGAACCTCTCAAGAACCTCTCAAGAATCTCTCAAACATTGAGCCACTGCGAAAGGCCCAAACGCGTTCACATCGGTATTGAGGACCTGCAAATCTGCAAATTGCCTCCTCTTTGGAAGTCTCATTCCAGCCTCAGCACGGCACTTGGACACTTGGACACGTCAAGGCGAACAGAACCAACACCAAAATTGCAAACACAGAGACGATAAGTCGCTCCAACGACACCAGCATCTTACGACAAATTGGGGGCCTTCACCTGCTGAGCTACCCCCCACGCCGATGCAAAGCTGCGCTGGGCCAAAAACGGGGCCGGGTCCTGTTGCCTCGTCCCCTGTTCCCGCCGAGACCTGACAAGTGCTGCTTCAGAGGACATGACGCGTGGTGTGCTGGATGTACCATGCCTCCATTTGCTCAAGTTCCCTGGACAAATATATGTCCAGTGATAGATTGCCTTTAAAACCAACAGGGGATTTTTTTTATTTTTTTTAATGTTCTTGACCAAATGGAAGCATGAAGTGAGGACAATGTCCCCTGACAAACGTGACCCAAGCTGACTGAAAGAAGCAAACACAAGCAGCCAAGCAAAAGCATAACTTGGCCCAAATGCCCGCCAAGGCCCGAGCTATTGCGAGCGGAGCTGATGATGTAATTTGTGGGTTTTTGGATATCCCTGGCCTCATGGTTGACACTGCAAGCTTAGCCCGAAATTGGCTCCCCTCGCTACACGCTTCAGCTCAATCGAGGCCTTCTTCTCCAAATTCTGCAGAATCATAAATGCCTTGCCACTACACAAGCTGTACTTCTTGCTTTGCAAGCATGAATGCCAGGATATGCCATCCCAAGATATGTTCTGGTGGCATCTCAGTTCCCAAGAAACATGCAGCACAACCCCCGACCTCCTCATCACCAACCTGGGCAAGGAGCTCCTGTGCCGTCTCGCATGCGCGCCACCAGCGCTTTTGGACTTTTGGATGGATGGGCTCTGGTCAAACGCGGTGCGTTCGAGTTGAGGCAACCAACAGTTGCACGAGCCCGGCTGCCCACGGGTCCTTGACATCAGCGAAGCGGATCTCCTCTTGGAGGCCAGCCTGACACGTGAAGCTCCGGAACCCCAAATCAAATCCCAGCCCGCTGGGCCGCTGGGAGTTGAAAAAAACAACCACCATGCGCAATTGGCTCAACACATGGCCGGGGCGTCGTGATTGTTCAACCAGCCGATCTTTCTGGAAAGCTTTGTGGAGGTTGAATTCCTGCACGCAACTCTCAAAGGACGAGGCCCTGGGCACATCACAAAGCCGGTAGAAAAGATGTCGAGCAACTGAAGACTCAAGATGCCCAGGAGCTACACATTCGCATGCAGCTCCTCTTGGCAAAGTTGCCTGAGCGCCTGCCACAGTGACGTCTGGTGGAGCTTGTCAAACAACAGCAAGCTCGCCGAAGTCAGTGCAA